AATAAAAAGCCTGACACCGTACTAATGGCACTGGGCAGGAAGGGGTTAACATGTGGGGAGCGATCAAAGGGTTTAACTGTGTACTGTGTGTGTTTTACTACAGAGACATGCTATGCAGAGCCATACAAAGCAGCATGCTGGGACTGACCGGGGATAGATCTGTATTGTTTACATACAGACCTCTCCCCCGTCGGTGATAATCAGCGATCACTGGGTGGCAGGCGGTGAATCTCCGGCTGGGACTCGGTGATTGACAGCTGCAGCCGCCAATGGCGCCCCCTACCCGGAAATACAAAATCACATATATATATGTGTGATTTTGCGCACCCGTGCCGCCCTGTAGCAGTAGTTCTGCTATAGGGCGGACGGGAAGTGATGAATATGGCAGTACACAGCAACAGAGGCTCCGCCTACATCCTAGATCCTGCTCTCACAATCGCTCCGTCCTTTGTTTTATAATACGCGGGATGGAAGACGCACCTGATACAACCTTTGTCCTAATTAAAAAAGTTATATTAAAGGTACGTGAAATTGTAAGCCCTGTACTAGTTATAGTGACTTGTATGTCTCCTAACACACAGGAATACACAATGGTGAAGAAGACATCTGGTGATCATGTGACATTCAGCAGCCAATCCTGTGTGCCAGGAGAACAGAGCAGGATCCAGAGAACCGTTTATGGATCCCCCACACCCCACTGCCTGATACCAGAGAGGAACAACGACAAGAAGATTCTGGAGCTCATCAACAAGATCACTGAGCTTCTGACAGGAGAGGTGAGCGGTGCCGGGAATTATGGGAGGTGAGCGGTGCCGGGAATTATGGGAGGTGAGCGTGAGCGGTGAGCGGGAATTATGGGGAGGTGAGCGGTGAATTATGGGAGGTGAGCGGTGCCGGGAATTATGGAGGTGAGCGGTGCCGGGAATTATGGGAGGTGAGCGGTGCCGCGGTGCCGGGGTTGCCGGGAATTATGGGAGGTGAGCGGTGCCGGAGGGAGGAGAGCGGTGCCGGGAATGGGAGGTGAGCGGTGCCTGGAATTATGGGAGGTGAGCGGTGCCTGGGAATTATGGGAGGTGAGCGGTGCCGGGAATTATGGGAGGTGAGCGGTGCCGGGAATTCTGGGGCATCGTCCGGGATCAGAAGCGGTATGTCTGGATGGTGACTGTATCATTGTGTGTGTCAGGTTCCTCTCCGGTGTCAGGACGTCGCCGTCTATTTCTCCATGGAGGAGTGGGAGTATATGGAGGGACACAAGAATATCATGATGGAGAACCAGGTGCCTCTCATATCATCAGGTAAGAGGAGGTCAGGTTTACAGAAAGAAATCCATGTGATCACCATCCACACGAGACACTTCAGACAGACATAAATGAATACAGCTCTCCACAGATGTCTGCAGTTTTGAGCTACAGCCACCATGTTGGGGAAGCCAATGTCTTGACTGGGTGTTGGTCTGTCTGGAGGGGGGGGGGGGAGAACAACCATCAGTGCCTTCAAAAGTAAACGTGGGTTCACAGCAGAACAAAATGTATGCCTGAATGCCAGAGAGTATGCAGGCATACATGTACTACGGTGTCACGTCCTCTAATTTACTGTGTTTTAAGTGAATACTCCCATCCACATAAACAATGGACCATCCACCTGAATCATGGACAGTCCACCTGAACCACACACCATCCACTTGAACCATTGACAATCTACCCAAACCACTGACCATCTACGTGAACCACTGACCCTGCACCCGAACACTGACCATCTACCAGAACAACTGACCATCTACCAGAACCATGACCATCTACCTGAACCATTGACCCTCCACGAGAACCACTGACCTTCCACCCGAACCACTGACCATCTACCCGAACCACTGACCATCTACCTGAACCACTGACCATCTACCTGAACCACTGACCATCTACCTGAACCACTGACCATCTACCCGAACCACTGACCATCTACCCGAACCACTGACCATCTACCCGAGCAACACTGACCATCTACCCGAGCAACTGACCATCTACCAGAACCATGACCATCTACCTGAACCATTGACCCTCTCCCACGAGAACCACTGACCATCCACCCGAACCACTGACCATCCACCCGAACCATTGACCATCTACCCGAACCACTGCCCCGCATCTACCCGAACCACTGCCCATCTACCCGAACCACTGCCCATCTACCCGAACCACTGACCATCTACCTGAACCACTGACCATCTACCCGAACCACTGACCATCTCCCGAACCACTGACCATCTACCCGAACCACTGACCATCCACCCGAACCATTGACCATCTACCTGAACCACTGACCATCTACCCGAACCACTGCCCATCTACCCGAACCACTGCCCATCTACCCGAACCACTGACCATCTACCTGAACCACTGACCACTACCTGAACCACTGACCATCTACCTGAACCACTGACCATCCACTCGAACCACTGACCATCCACCCGAACCACTGCCCATCTACCCGAACCACTGCCCATCTACCCGAACCACTGCCCATCTACCCGAACCACTGCCCATCCACCCGAACACTGACCATCTACCGGGAAACACTGACCATCTACCAGAACCATGACCCTCCACGAGAACCACTGACCCTCCACAAGAACCACTGACCATCTACCCAAACCACTGACCCTCCACGAGAACCACTGACCATCCACGAGAACCACTGACCCTACCCGAAACCACTGACCCTCCACGAGAACCACTGACCCTCCACGAGAACCACTGACCCTCCACGAGAACCACTGACCCTCCACGAGAACCACTGACCCTCCACGAGAACCACTGACCCTCCACGAGAACCACTGACCCTCCACGAGAACCACTGACCATCTACCCAAACCACTGACCCTCCACCCGAGAACCACTGACCATCTACCCAAACCACTGACCATCCATGAGAACCACTGACCCTCCACCCAAACTCCTGTAGACTGACAGTCACCAATCACCTCTCTATATATGAATCTCTCCTGCAGCCATCCTGACTGACTGCCCACGTCACCTGCCATGCTTATAGTCACTGTATATCATGTGACTGGAGGGATACGACTGGTATGACATCTATACACAATATATTGTATCAGTGGTGGAAATAGTCATCAAAAGGGTCCTGTGCAAGAACAAGTTTTGAACCCCCAATTTAGCGGCTGCCCAGCTACAAACAAATAAGATAGAAAGATATATTCTAGAGCAGACTTTCCCATCATTCTTACCCCTAAAATAATTTTTAGGTTTTGAAGAACCCTTACTTAATCCACTTCATCGGGGGTCAGTGGGAAGAATGTCCCTTACATTGGGGGTCAGTGGGAAGAATGTCCCTTACATTGGTGATCAGTGGGAAGAAGAATGTCCCTTACATTGGGGATCAGTGGGAAGAATGTCCCTTACATTGGGGGTCAGTGGGAAGAATGTCCCTTACATTGGTGGTCAGTGGGAAGAATGTCCCTTACATTGGGGGTCAGTGGGAAGAATGTCCCTTACATTGGGGGTCAGTGGGAAGAATGTCCCTTACATTGGTGGTCAGTGGGAAGAATGTCCCTTACATTGGGGGTCAGTGGGAAGAATGTCCCTTACATTGGTGATCAGTGGGAAGAATGTTCCCTTACATTGGGGGTCAGTGGGAAGAATGTCCCTTACATTGGTGGTCAGTGGGAAGAATGTCCCTTACATTGGGGGTCAGTGGGAAGAATGTCCCTTACATTGGTGGTCAGTGGGAAGAATGCCCCTTACATTGGTGGTCAGTGGGAAGAATGTCCCTTACATTGGTGGTCAGTGGGAAGAATGTCCCTTACATTGGGGGTCAGTGGGAAGAATGTCCCTTACATTGGTGATCAGTGGGAAGAATGTCCCTTACATTGGTGATCAGTGGGAAGAATGTCCCTTACATTGGGGATCAGGGGGAAGAATGTCCCTTACATTGGGGGTCAGTGGGAAGAATGTCCCTTACATTGGGGTCAGTGGGAAGAATGTCCCTTACATTGGTGGGTCAGTGGGAAAGAATGTCCCTTACATTGGTGATCAGTGGGAAGAATGTCCCTTACATTGGTGGTCAGGGGAAGAATTCCCTTACATTGGGGGATCAGTGGGAAGAATGTCCCTTTACATTGGAGATCAGTGGGAAGAATGTCCCTTACATTGGGGGTCAGTGGGAAGAATGTCCCTTACATTGGGGGGGCTCAGTGGGAAGAATGCCCTTTACATTGGTGATCAGTGGGAAGAATGTCCCTTACATTGGGGGTCAGTGGGAAGAATGGCCCTTACATTGGGGGTCAGTGGGAAGAATGTCCCTTACATTGGGGGTCAGTGGGAAGAATGGCCCTTACATTGGGGATCAGTGGGAAGAATGGCCCTTACATTGGGGGTCAGTGGGAAGAATGCTCCTCCTACAGATAGCTAAAACAATCATTGGTGTCATGCTGCTGGCTCTGCCAAGTGGTTTTGTAGCCCGGGGGATCTATACAGCCACCATGAAATGGGAGGTCAGTCAGTCAGGGCTCTGGGAACCCCTAGTAACCTCTGGAGGAACTCTGGCTGAGAATGGCTGTTCTGAAGAGATCACTTAAAAAATTGTATTTAAATACACTGTAAATTTCTGAGTTTCTTTCCGTTTTTTGTGTCCTGCAGATGGACAACACAACAATGACACTATGGAAATTCCGGACGTAGAAGATGATGACATCACATTTGACTCTTCGGGAACAAAATCCATCATATCAAATCTCCATCCGGATATTCCCTGTGAGGATCCGTCATCATTTCCTTCTGCCCGTGAGAAGTTGTATCCCGATGTGCACCCTCCCCCTGATCCCGCACCTCGTACAGGAGGAGAGACGCTCCCACATTCTGAGCACAGTGAGCATCTTACGGAGAAAACCAAATCCCCTTCATTCCAGGAAACCAGAACAGGGGAGAAGCTGTATTCGTGTCCCGAGTGCGGGAAATGTTTTCCTTACAAATCACACCTTCTCAGGCATGAGGTCGCTCACACTGGGAATAGGCCGTATTCCTGCTGGGAGTGCGGGAAATGTTTTTTTATACAAATCGGCTCTCGTCGCACATGAAAGGATTCACACGGGGGAGAGAAGCCATACTCGTGTCCCCAGTGCGGGAAATGTTTTAACCGCAAATCGGCTCTTAGCCAACACCAAACTATCCACACGGGGGACAAGTCCTATTCCTGTTCCGTGTGCGGAAAATGTTTTTCGCAGAAACCGCATCTTCTAAAGCATGACCGAGTCCACACCGGGGAGAAGCCATATTCCTGTGCAGAGTGCGGGGGAAACGTTTCTCCCAGCAATGGGATCTTAACAGACATGAGAGACTTCACACGGGGGAGAAGCCGTATTCCTGCTCTCAGTGTGGGAGGTGTGTTTTTCCCGTAAATCGTATCTCAACGCTCATGAGAGAGTTCACACGGGAGTGAAGCCACATCTGTGCTCCCAGTGTGGGAAGTGTTTTTCCCGTAAATTGTATCTTCGCAAGCATGAAAAATGTCATCAGGGGGGCCAACCAGATTCATGTGTGTTCAACCGATAGACCGGTCATTGTCTGACATCACAGATATCACCCCAGTATTCGCTGTATTCACACACGGAGAAGAGGTATAAAGACATACTGACGTGGAGAGTGGCCCCCACAGATGGTATGTGCAGTGCCTGCCGGGACAAGGGCATCCAGTGCCCAGGGCGAAGATGGCGAATTGCGGCACCCCCCCCGCCATGTGGAGTCCCCAATAGAGTCCCCCTCTACATCAGGTGTCCCCAATAGAGTCCCCCTCTACATCAGGTGTCCCCAATAGAGCCCCCCTCTACATCAGGTGTCCCCAATAGAGTTCCCCCTCTACATCAGGTGTCCCCAATAGAGCCCCCCTCTACATCAGGTGTCCCCAATAGAGCCCCCCTCTACATCAGGTGTCCCTAATAGAGTTCCTACATCAATAGTCCCCAATAGCCCCCATCTACATCAGGTGTCCCCAATGGAGCCCCCCTCTACATCAGGTGTCCCCAATGGAGCCCCCCTCTACGTCAGGTGTCCCCAATAGAGTCCCCCCCCTCAATGTCAGGTGTCCCAATAGAGTCCCCCTCAATGTCAGGTGTCCCCAATAGAGTCCCCCTCTACATCAGGTGTCCCCAATAGAGTCCCCCTCTACATGTCAGGTGTCCCCAATAGAGTCCCCCTCTACATCAGGTGTCCCCAATAGAGTCCCCCTCTACATCAGGTGTCCCAAATAGAGTCCCTCTCTACATCAGGTGTCCCCAATAGAGTCACCCCTACATCAGGTGTCCCAAATAGAGTCCCTCTCTACATCAGGTGTCCCCAATAGAGTCCCTACACATCAGGTGTCCCAAATGAGTCCCCCTCTACATCAGGTGTCCCCAATAGAGTCGTCCCCCTCTACATCAGTGTCCCCAATAGAGTCGTTTCCCTCTACATCAGGTGTCCCCAATAGAGTCTCCCGCTACATCAAGTGTCCCAGTAGAGTTCCCCTCTAATCAGGTGTCCCCAGTAGAGTCCCCCTTTACAGCTGGTTGTCCCTTGTAGAGTTCCCCTTTATATCAGGTGTCTCCAATAGAGTCCCTCTTTATATTAGGTGTCTCCAGTAGAGTCTCCCTGTACATCACATATCCCGAATAGAGTCCCCCTTCTCATTGCCCCCCCCCCCCCCCCACTTCCCCCTTGTACTGGGAGATCAGTACTCACAGCCTCGCCTTCCTCTATCTGATCATGTGACAAGTCACATGACGGGGAGAGAGGAAGGAAGACACAGTCCGCCCCCCCCCCCCCCCCCCTTCCTCAGTAGTATGGCGCTGAGACTGAGGACAGATCTCTGCCTCAGCGCTGGCTCTTTTCCACCCCAGGCAAGCTGGAGTGAGGAAAAAGCTGAATTCTCCCTCCGGCAGCAGCTGCTCCTTCTGACAGGAGTAACAGTGCTGTCACTCCTGTCAGTAAGAAGCAGGATGAGCGAACAACTCAGCAGCACCCCCCCCCCCCCCCCCAACTCAACACAGTGTCTGTGACAGGTGCCCGCTCAGCCCCCCCAGTCTATCTCCAGCTTTGCTATCATGTAAACCCTTTTGCTGTCCTTGAAGTGTGCCATACTTTGGTAGCAGCCAACTGTCGGCTGTCAGATTGAAGAAACCCAGACGCTGTGCAACTGGCAACATTCACACCCCTCCACCACCACCATTATGTCTCCTGGGCTCTGTGCACTCATTGGGGATCCAGGCCAGGCATGGAAGATGCTGCTGATAGAGAGGAGAGAGATCCCCAAACATCCGCTCGCTGATCTCCCCTTCCTACTAAGAATACCTAAAGTGGCAGTTTAGACATTTCTGATGTCACTTTTTTCAGTCTGTCTGGAAATGAAGCTAATAATGATCCTAAATAGACACCGATTCTACAGCCATCTCTACTTGCTTCTGGGTTCTGCGCCGAGCGGTTGGCTTGATGCGTTGTGAAGTCAGCGGCTTGGCATGGGAGCCATTCAGAGAATGTTTTATATCCTCATGTATGCTTTGAGACATGAGTGGATGGGGACTGATGAGGCCATGAGAATATGTTCTTTTTATTTTTGTTTTATGAGGTCAGCTTTTGGTAAATTAACGATCTGTGAAAACTCTAGTTGATGATAAAGTTGTTTTGTTTTTGTAAGTGAGTTTATTTAATGATTTGTTTGGAAACACTCAGAGCCTTTTTCATACATTTCCGTATTGCACTCGCTGGCACACCCAGACTGGAATGTAACAGAGTGATATAATGTCTAGCGAGCGCTACCTAGAAATTGAGATAATTTGTGTATAAAGAGAGAGCCGCTAGAACACCAAAAAAGGTCACCAACACACCTTCCAGGAAAATATGTAAATATAAAGGTGCAGCGCTGGGGACAGAGGCAAAAAATGCAGATGGTAATCAAATATAACATGCAATATGCAAAATCGTCCATCAAAGTGCAATACGTGATCACATGAATGCTTCTTGAGTGATTTGTAGCGCGAAGTTCTAAAAATGCTCAAACTTAAAAAATTCGGTTGTTCTGTGGTGCGTGTTCACACGTGATCATGTGACCAGGTGTTAGCAGGCACCATAGAGAACAATTGATTTTTTTTTTTAAGTTTGAGCATTTTGGAGCTCCGAGCTTCAGGCTACAAATCACTGAAGTATGAATACAGCCTTACCGCCTCCCGACCGCCCTATAGCAGATATACTGCTACAGGGCGGCAGGGGTGCCACAATCACATGTGTATATATACGGGATTTTGCACTTCTGGGTAGGGAGCATGTGTACCCTACCCGCGCCGCCATTCGTGGCCATGGCTGTCAATCACTGGGTCCCGGCCGGTGATTACTAGCCGGCGCCCAGGTGATTGCCGAGGATCTCCGACTGGGAGGAGAACTAAACAAAACAGTTCTCATGTCATCTCCTGCACACTGCTTCGCATGGCTATGCACAGTACAGCCATGCAAAGCAGTGTGTTTACAGTGAAGCACACGGACACAGTAAAACAGCACACAGTTAACCCTTTGATCGTCCCACATGTTAACCCCTTACTGCCCAGTGCCATTGGTACAGTGTCAGTGCTTTTTATTAGCACTGATCACTGTATTTGTGTCACTGGGGATGTCAGTGACACCAAGTCAATCTCCCCCCCCCCCCAGTGTCAGAATGTCCGCCGCAGTCCCGCTATAAGCCGCTAATCGTTGCCATTACTAGTAAAAATAAAAAATCCCATTATCTATGCCACCATTTGTAGACGCTATAACTTTCACATGTATTGGGATTTTTTTTTTTCAGCAAAAACATGCCGCAGAATACAATTTGGTGGCCAACTCCAGGAAACGTCTGCCCTCTGTGATTGCCAACAAGGGATTGGCCACCAAGTACTAAGTCATGTTTTGTGAAGGGGATCAAATCCTTCTTTCCCTCATGAACATGCAGATCCGTCATCATTTGTTAGACGCATTTCTGCTGAATTTGTTGTTGTATTCTGTCTCTGTGTTACACCGAACATTGATTTTTAGACCGATCATTTCTTTGTGAGGGGCGAACATTCCATTGTTAGACCGATCATTTCTGTGTGAGGGGGCGAAACATTCAACATCAGCAGGGGAGCAAATACGCATTTCCTCCACTGTATATGGGATGCCCAAGGAACTGCAAAACGTGAGGACAACTTCTGAGCCAACTGTATGTGACGGAACGCCTGGCACCCAACTTGTGCCTTCAGTTAGGGACACAGGACTTGCAACCAAGACAAGGCGACACTACTGGATGCAAACTGAAACTTCTTTATTGAACAGAAATACAGTTTTTATACACTCCAGAAATAGGGGCAGTGCCCCCACATGAGCAATAAAACAAATATTACATCCCACGCTGAGTAGATAACGAGGTGAAGCTGAAATCAGTCTAATCATGTTGGAGCCTCCAGGAGGACTTGCCAACAGACCTACAATAGGTGACTCCATTAACAATGGGAATGCACACACCTAGGAGGCACACAATGGGAGAAGAAAGTACACACATAACACCTTAATAAACACATTAGAGCAAGAGTCCTCAAATCAGGTCATTTTGCTAATTACATCAACATCTTCTTAGACTCTCTGAATCTGGGAAGGAGCAGTCAAAGCTGGTTTGGGCATAGAGACCCCAAATCTGTATGTTGGTCCTCCAGTTCGTAGAGTCTGTGTTTTTTGGGAAACATGGACTTGAATGCTATGTAAACTACTCCAAAGGTCCCCCAGGCACACATTAAAGAATAGAGCCCCCTTGGATGCGAGGGCCATGGTTAGTAGGCAAGAGGCTACCCTGCAGTCCCCTCCAAAAGCCCCTGTCCCAGTTGTCCCAGTCCCGGTCATACTGTACAAAAATGTGAATCAGAATAGCGCTGTCCCTTTAAGGTGCACTGAAGTCTCCTTGATGTGCGCATTATCCAAGGTTTATTACAATGTATGAAAAAAGACATGGAACATACAAAAGTAGCACAAGAGAAAGCCTGTAGGCCGCAACAATGGCCCGAAATGGTGGCAGAGTGTCCGACTGGTGGTGTGGTCGGCCTTCTGATACGTTTCAGGGATGTGTCTCTATCCTCAGAGCTGAAGCGGTGATCAGGACGCTGTATGGGTATGGTGGTGATCAGGACGCTGGTATGGGGGTATGGGTGATCAGGACGCTGGTATGGGGGTGGGGGTAAGGGTGATGGGGGGCGGTTGGGGTATGGCGGTGATCGGGCTGGTATGGGTAAAGGGGTGGGGGTGCGGTTGGGGAGGCGGGATGGTTGGTATGGGGTATGGCGGGGGATCAGGACCTGGTATGGGGGGGGGTGGGGTTTATAGGGCGCTGGATGGGTATGGGGGGTGATCAGGACCTGGGATGGATTGGGGTGATCAGGGGCGCGGTATGGGATGTGGCGGGGATCAGAC